AAAGCCAGCTCTAAATTTGCATTCATTTGAAGACATCGCGAGAGCGCGCGCGACAGAGATACTAGAAATGGGTCCTACTTCAGTTCAAGTGAGCAGGAAATGTTAAGCTGCTAATGAAACGAGGCACGAATGCAGTTTGAAGGCAGTTTTTTAAATTGGTCAACAACGAATATTCTATTGGGCATTTATAATGCAGCTAAGATAACTTTATGCGACTTAACAGAGCCAAAGTGACTAGATTAAACTAATCTTACAGTTTATATGGAGCACTTTAATTTTAATAAAATATTGGTATATATAAGAGTTTTACTTTTTTTTTACGTTTTTTTTTTTAGTCATTTAGGAGTACCACTCAAGTTCTTTTTTACTTAAACATCATCCTATATACATTGAAAATTAATTTGTATAAAATTAATAATTTAATTGTATGAAAGTTACATAAGTACGAGGGGGAAAAGTAATTTAAAAATAAAACCTTTATCAACAATTATATACATATATTGCTTAAGACAGAAATAAAACTTGTTTGCTTAAATATTTATAAATATTTATAATTAAAATCTAAAAAATCCATAGTTAACATCAAAAAAAAAAAAAAAAAAAAAAAAAAAAAAAAAGAAAGAAAAAATTAAAAATTTCAAAAATTGAATAGTTAACAGAAAATAAATAAATAATTAAATACTTGTTATTCAAAATTCTAAAAATTTGATAGTTAACACTTCCCAATTATAATAAGGAATATTCTGCTTAAGTCATAACTTCAATTTAAAAATAAAAAAAATACCCTTCAATTTCATAGTTAACAACAAATAAACACTGCCCAACAAATGTCTGATAAGTTTTGTGAATTAAGCGAAAAACTTTGTTTAATTTTCAATTAAACAAACAGTTTTCCCGAAAACGCAGCTAATTAGTGCGCCAATTGAATGGATCAGCGAGAGTTGAATGCAAAAACTTTGTTGTTGTTTTTGCCGCTGCAAAATAGTTGCAAACTGCATCAATGCAAAGCTCCAAGGACCTGCCCAGCCCCACTCCCACTGCCCCACTCCCTTCCCCTATCGCTCTCCTTCTCTACGCCGTAGGGTAAAGCAACCTCCAAAATGTTACGCTCAAATGCTGAAATGCGCGCAAATTAAGCAATTAGAGCCAGTTAGTCGAGTTCTGCAGGCCAAAGAAATGAGATTAACGGAAATGCGTCTGGTGTTTGGCTCAACCCGGAAGACATTGGAACGATCTAATTGCCACGCACACACACACACACACTTACAATCTCACAAATATCACAACGCACTTAGTGGCAGCAATTGCGGCATATAAATTGAATTTATGCGCCCATTTCAATTTTTTCCGACTGCTTTTTGGCACATTGCTTATTGATTATTTTTACTAATTTATGTTGCTAATAAAATTGTCAATTTGTATGCGTGCAGTGTGGCTCTAACTTTGTCTCATCCTCTCCATCTCTGTCTCCCCTTTCGCTGAGGCGTGGCTGACAAAACCATTAGACTTAAGTGTCTGACTGAGGGTCCCGGTCCTGCCTGAATACGCTCAGCTCTGCTCGATTCCTGCCCAGAGGGCACAATGCCAACGGCTTTCGCAAATTGACGCTGCAGGACATTTCTAGTAATGATGATATTTTTTTTTCTCTCACTCGTCTCCCTCCCCGCCTCCCGCTCTAACTCTCTTGTACTTTGGCTGTCTCTCTATAGCTTCCTCTTCTGCTTCAAGTGAAGGCAGTGAAGCGTTGGCCATTCGCCTCGACTTTTCTGTGCGTGCAGCTTATTAGGCCGCATTTAAGTTTCGGCAGTGCCTTAAGGATTGCGTCTCTGGATTTTCTGGCAATTGGTTAAAGGCGTTACGCAGTCATTGGCACAGATTCCGTTTGCCAAAAAGCCAAAAAAGTGAGCTTACGACAGCAACTGAATTGTATTATTCTTAAGCTTTCAACTCTATTATTATGGGAAAATGTGTTTTTAGACTTCAAGATTTTTTTTTTTTCATGCAGTTTTTATGTATTGACTTAACTTTCATTGGAAATAAACTCACTAAAAATCTGTTCGTTGTGTAGTGAAATGAAGGAAATTATTTTACTAATTGATACGGAATAAGTGATTTAAAATTTGTAATTTAAGAGGTTTTAAAGTTTCTTGTCAAAATGAAATACAAAATGAAACAATAAAAAAAAGGGTTATCAATTTGTTTATTCATTAATTAAAATTTATAAATTTAATTAATTTATTGTTAGGCGTAAATTTAATTTATTGGAATTTTTTTTAAATTAAGTAATGAAAAATAGGCTTTACTTTATATTTTTTTAAATTATTACATAATTATTAATATTATTAATATATTTGTTTATATGGTATTTATAATATTCTTGAATTTAATATGAACCTTTTTAAATTATTAGCTCAAATAAAAATTGTTTTACTAATAACTCCCATCCTATAATAAATATTGGACTTATTTATATTATCAGAACTTTATATTCATCCTGATTCTCTCACAAAAATCTTGTATTTCTTCATTCTACATTCATCTCTCCATGCACTCTACCTTTCTCGCAAAAATATATTTTATTTCTACTCTATTTCTATTGTGCTCTCTGTAATTTCTTGTAATATTTTTCAACTCAAGCCCGCAAATCTTGATTAGCTCAACTGCAGCAGGCAGCCCGCTGGCAAGCAAACTAGTTTCAATGCTTCGACAACCCTCGCATGAGCAAAATATTTACCAAACCACCTCCTGTCATATCTGCTAGCTTTCCAGCAGGAGGGGGATGCAGTAAGCACCCATTGGCACTTAGAGCTAACCTTTTGGCCATTAAAACAACATGGCTTTAAAGCTTTTACACCATTTTGCCATGCCGTTACCGTCGCTTGATGATGAAGACATTTTTCTTGCTCAAAAATTGTATTTACAACATCATTTGAGCTTAAATATATGGACGGGCGAGTTGGCAGTTGGGTTTGCCTATTGAAGGCACCTTAAAAAACCCATTCAAAGTGCGCCACTCAAGTGGCACTTCGGCTCTTTTTTCTTCGCATTTCCCTTTTATAGTGCCGTCGCAGCGCATGGAACACAAATTTTATGCCGCTTTATGGCAACTTTAGTGGTCAATGCAGCAGCAGCAACAACAACAACAGCATAGCTCAAGTAGCACCCATAAAAAATGGCTGACTGACAGACAGGCTGACGAGCTCAAGTCCCTGGCTTTCCTCTTGCCCACCCTCGTTCATCCGCCATTCGGCTTGTTAAATTATGTAAAAATGTAATTTTCATAAAAAAGCAGGCAACAAGGAGTTAAGCGGGAATGCGTGGGGCGGCAGTGCGGGAGGCGGGGGGCGTGGCTGTAAATGATATTACACGCGCTCCAAGTGTTTGCCCGCCTTTTGAAGTCGCCTGCAAATTGAATCAAAATAAAAATTTATGTCTTAGCTACCTTCACCACATTTCTTGACCCTTTTCGCTCCGTCAACACTTGGATGGACATTCGAAGGATTAGAGAACGTAGCAGAGGTTGAACGAAACGCAAAATGATGTTCGAATTTTCATATATTGACAAGTTGAAAAGTTTTAAGATTTTAAATAGTTAAATATTGAAAACAGTTTAAAGAATTAATGATAAAGGCCAATGAAGAAATATACTTTATTTGTATATTATAAAACCTTCGAATATAGGAATAAAAAGGTTTTGATTAACTATAGAATGTAATATATAATGTTAAAATTTTCACAAAAAAAA